GTGGATCGTTTGTAGTTGTACACAAAATTCTGAATTGTCTTCAACTCTGGAACAGTGCTCCGGTCCATCGAGAATTGGTCGATCAGGCTATTCCGTATGCGTGCTGGTTTAACCCCCATCAGTGATCATTGTCCGGCTTTGTCTATTCATCGCAAGGGTAAACACTCTTTCTTTGGGGGATCTGACGTGGGTGAGATGGTTTTCGTGCTCATAAAATGAGTAGATGTCCGTTGCAAAACATTGAAGAAGCTTCAACCAATAAGGGCATTTCTCACCAATCGTGTTGCAAGTTGATGAAACACAGTACCACATTTTGTACCTCATCTTGTGTCCATCAGTGTTCTCCTTGCATATCGAGCAATGTTTGTTCTTGTTGTTAGTGTAGACATGTAGAGAGCGCATTTTATCGAGCTTTTTGTTTGCCAGTAGTTCTTCCACGGCTGTACCAATCGCTCTCCACGTATATTCCATCGGTTTGTTCTCCTCGGCGAGACGAACTATTTGTGTCTAAACAATTGCAAAGGTAGAATTGCTGGCAAGAAAGAAACAAGAGCTAATTTTGGTATCAGTCGCGATTCTTCGCATCTTTTGTTCCCCTTAGCGTATTTATAGATTTCACCATCGCTAATGACGACCTGCTCTTTTAAACTCTTGAATTCAAGACATCAATCAACGTAATTCCCCAAGTAACTTATTCCGTGAAATGAAAAGAAAGCCTTATTATTTTATACTTACCCAACGATATGCATGTACATTCATATATTACTATGTACTATTACACGTTCAAACACGGGGTGCAGATGATTGTGAAAGCTGCCTAGCCGTCATCTTAGGGCCAATCGCAAGGTCTGTGGTGAACTTAATAGACGATTGGTAAAGTTACAAGTGCGTTGGTTCATTTTTTAGACATTTTGGTTCAGATCTCATCCTCTCTCCCATCGCAAATAGTGAGTGCCACGGATGTCAAGCTTACAATTAAATCGTTGTTGGCGTCTACGTACTTCGTGACCGAACAAAGCCCAGGATAACGAGGGAAAACATGCCACGCACTAACATCATAGTACGACATATAAAACAATCAGTGACGTTGGTTAGCGCATACACTATAGATTAATGATATCGCCACTGTAATTTATTACAACAGTACTTAATCGGTGGTCCGAATGTCTTTAGCGAAGGTAAAACCGAACATGAACCGAAAGACGACATATTAAGCTATGCATTACATGTAACTGTACCCCTCTACTTATACATAAAGTTGATTTTTTGAACCGGCGTTATTGCCATTGAGGGTGTAGAGGGAGAAATTAAACTAAACGGGTACGATGCAGCACCAACCCTATGAAGTTGCTCACCGTCGTTGAGTCTCTCAAGCATGGTGGCGCTGGGCACGATTTGAGACTATAGTAGGCTAGGTTGTTCCGCCTTAGCGGCGGAACATACGCACACAGTCTGGGTGCCTGACACCGCTACAGTAAGCCTATGCAAGTCTACGTAACTGTAGGCAAGAGAAAGCTTTTTCACGATGACAACCTTGCGGATGACATCGCTCGCGTATGAAAATGCCCGCTGTAGCCCGGTTTAAACCCTTGCCTTCATGCATAGGTTTGCAGAGATCCCGCGCAGACGTAGCGGAGGATGTTGAATGCCGCGTGCTCGTCCCGGCCGGCCGTATAGGAGCAGTGCGGACACGTGAACACGTCGTTACTTCCGAGTTTCAGATGGAGGCGTTCGCAACGAGTGCACGTCCGACTCGTGTACATCTCAGAGCAGACGACGACAGTCTTGCCCACGACCTCACACTTGGCTTGAAGGAGCTGGAGGAACTGGAAGTGGTTCAGGCTCAGTATGCTCTTGTTGAACCCGTGATTGCGCGCGCTGCTTTTTTTTTTTTACCATGTCCTTGGATTGGAAGATCGGGAGTAGGATCACGTCGTAGTGCTTGACCAGGTACGAGCACGTCTGCAAATGAAGCTCCTTCACACAGTTCTTGAGCTTGGCCGTGGAGCTGAGGAACGTACGCTTGGCTCTCACATACGCTCTATACTGCCATCGTTTGCTCTTCTTCTTGTTCTTGAACTTGGACATCACGCTCTGCGCGTTATCCCGACGTTTCCGAATCGCGTCCAAGTAGGCCTTGGTACCTCGTCCAAATTCTAGCACATTACCCTCGAGGTCCATGCCGGTCATGAAGGCCTTTGTCCCGGGGAATACCCGATGCACCTGCCACGATTGTAGAATACCGTCGGCTCCACGTACTCTGGAATGGCAACGTACCAAAACCCGTTGATGTTCAGGATATCGATCTCACTTGAGATCTCGACGTGCGCGTTCATCTTCACTCGAATGTCCTTCAGGTTCGTGATCGACAGGTAGAACACCGACTTCTCTTCTCGGATCTTAGCTTGCTCTCCATCTTGGCTGATTGTGAAGGAGGGAGACTTTTTCTTGCTCGAGAAGTCAATCTTGAACTTCTTGATGTTCCCATTCTTCACATTGCTGAGCGCGCTCTTCACGTTTGTTTGGAACGTCCGCAACGTGTTGAACCGCAGGTTCTTCGGCGTGTCATACACACCATTCGGCGGCGGACCCATGCCTTCTGGATACTTGGGCGTCTTCCTGGACGTCTTCGTCACGTACAGATCACGAAGACGGTTCGCGTTGAACTCGTTCGTTTTCCGATGGTGCGCAACCGCTTGGTTGTAGGTCCAGC